CAATAAGCAATCCTGAAAAATATTTGGGGGTGCTTAACTTTTTTCCAGGTGTATAGTTCTGTTGGAACTAGAGATATTTTTCCAATCCTGGACAGGTGCCATGCCCACCTTCTATACTATTCCTTGTGTTTTGTGCTTTACAAATCACGTGTTATTACTTGAAACACATGTATATAGTCATTAGAATGAGCTCATTTGACACTATAATCCAACAGTAGTTATTTTCTAATTGGCACTCGCTTGTCTTCATCAGGTAGATGTAACTGCCAATAGTGTTGGCTACTTTAGTCATGTTAGCACTTACAGTTGTTTCTTATCTAAATATGTTACAGTTAAAGAGACAATTAAATTGCATTTAAGTTTTACTTATATCTTTGTTAATTATATATTATTTATGTTTTAAAATGCACAATTGAAAGGTTTAAACATTTTTAAAATTTTGCTCAAGGCTTGCAACTCTCTTGAAGATACTGTAATACTCCCCGAGGGCATTGTTGAGATGAATAATAAATGGTAAAGGAAAATAAAACATTAAAAATTAAGTATATGTGAAAAGTAAAAGATCTGAAATTACAAATATCATCAAAAGAAGATCTTTTACGTACATTTCATTGCACTGTACGTTAATGATATGTACAGTTAGTGATATGGTGGAGAAAAATAAAATTTAAACATTTACCTTAAAAATCTTTTGATAATCATTTAGGGGGGTCCAGAGGTTATACAAATAAAACTCAAACTGTAAGATGAAAAATAAAGAATTCTTATACATAAAATGAAAATCCCCCTTGCACTCACACTTAATTAAAATAATGCCATTCTTTGGTACAAGATACTTATAATCTTTAAAAAAGTCTTATCAGTTTTAGTGAGGGTGTATCAGAGTTACCATATATATTGTTGAATAGGTATCATTCCCCAGTCAGGTTCCTGCAAATTGCAGGAGACCCATGGGAAAAGTTTAATTGCTGCATATGATCACACAAAAAAATGAGCCCAATTTCAAATATATGTTGGAAACTGAAAATTATACTAATATATGCTTTTATAATCTAGGCTGTGTGGCTTACAATTGAAGAAAGTATTAGTTTCACGATGTAAATAAATGCATTGACATATTTCAGGGATATGTCAAGAGGCAAGCATTATATGCATGTGGAACTTGTAGCACAGTTGATAAAGATCCAGCCGGAATATGTCTGGCATGTAGCTATGCCTGTCATGAAGGTCATGAATTGTTGGAGTTATATACCAAAAGGTAAGATGTATTCATAAAGCTAACCAACTTAGCAGAATATTTTCACAAACAATTGACAAAATTACTTATGATGTAATAAAGGTTTTGTTTATTTTTTAATTTCTCAAAGGTTTATCTTTTTGATGATGTTGCTGTTATTATGTAAAGGTTTATTATTTGATAATATGATGTATTATAGCAGTTTTAGTAGGAAATAAATGTACATTGAAACTAAGAACAATTTTAGCTATGGTACTAGAAGGTTGTTTTATGACATAAAAGAAATGTTAGCTGAAAAATTACCACTATACTATTGAAATTATACTGAAATTGAATTAATTAAAAATGAAGAGATGGAAAATATGTCATAAAGGAAGTCACATTTTTGAGATACATTTATTGGAAGAGTTTGTAATAAGTTAAAGCTTTGTTTATGACTGTATTATCACTGTTATTATAGCTGATGAGGTACATAACAGTTTCAGTAAGGAAATTTGCTTAGAAAATCTTGCATTCAGTAAGTTGGAGATTACATACATTGAGAATGACAGAATTATTTTGAACATTGTACAATTATATATATATATATATATATATATATATATATATATATATGTGTGTGTGTGTGTGTGTGTAGTAATTAATTAATTTAATTTATTCTTCTACTAGTAGTTAGTAGTAGGTGTAGTTAGGTAAGTAAGTTAAGTTAACGTAACCTAACCTAGTTGTTCGTTTGTTAGTTA